AAAATCTTTCGCTTAGACAAGATCCCAAATTAATGATACAAAGTTCAAACATACCATCAATGAATTCCAAAAAGGAAAAAATATCACAAGAAATATGGTTGTTTTTTAATGTAAAAAAAAGTTATGTTCTTTTAAAAGATTTAATTAATTAATAGGCCACGAAACTCTTCAGAATTATTCCTCACACACACTTTAAGACAAAAAAAAAATCATCAAAAACATTGACAAAATCACAAAGAGACCACTCTCATTCCATTTGCTCAGTCTCACTGGACAAATGACTATAAATGGAGTACACGATCGCAGTTCATATAACCAGACATTGATAAAATCACATTAATCCAAAAAAAATAAAAAATAAATAAAACATAGAGACCTTATGCAAACTCCACAAAAATACTCCATGGAAAATCACTCCACATCAAAATCACTTCCCCTGCTCACTCTCCACCTCATCATACTCCTTTCCTTCGCCCTCGTAAAACCCGGGTCGTCGTGCCACCCAACCGACAAACAGGCCCTCCTCGAGTTCAAGAAAATGATAACCAACGACCCGTCCCACCTCCTCGATACGTGGGACCCAAACAACGACTGCTGCGACACATTTGAGGGAGTCTCGTGCGACCGCAAAACGGGTCGGGTCGTTAGCCTCACCCTCTTCTCGGAAGATGACCCCGACGACTCTTCCTTGTCCGGAAAACTCTCCCCTTTCCTCGGCAACCTCACTTCCCTCCGAATCCTCGACCTCAACAACCTCAAATACCTAAGTGGGCCCATCCCGACCGAACTCGGCCGCCTGGTTCACCTGAATTACATGTTCCTCAACAAAAACAAACTCACCGGCCCGATTCCAGCCACCTTACGGAACCTGGCCTGTTTACAAAAATTGGTTCTTGACAACAACTTCCTTGGGGGCCAAATCCCATCCGACCTTTTCATCGGCATGACCTCACTGACGGTTTTGGGTCTCTCGTTCAATGTATTTTCCGGCCCGATACCTCCGTCGGTCGGGAAATTGACCTCGCTCGCCAGCCTCGATCTCCACAAGAACATCTTCTCGGGAAATGTGCCCGAAACTATCGGCGCGCTCAAAAATCTGACGTACGCTGATTTTTCCAGCAACCGGATGACCGGAAAAATCCCGGAGTCCATCGGCAGACTTCATTTGCTCGTTGTTTTGTACCTGAACAACAATGGCTTCACTGGAGAAATACCTTTCTCCATCGGCGAGCTCAGATCACTGAAGGTTATCAGTTTGTCGAAAAATCATCTGACAGGGCAGATACCCCCGTCGATCGGGAACCTGACGGGGCTCAAAAGCCTGCCTTTGGAAAACAATCAGCTTAGTGGAACACTACCTGAAACACTAGGCCAACTCATTAGCCTAGGAAACATTAATTTCTCTAACAATCGTTTTACAGGAAATATTCCTTCCAGTTTGGGAAATTTGAAGAAGTTAGAGAGCCTAGATTTATCAAGAAACAAACTTTCAGGCCCGATCCCATATACATTCCTTAAATTGAAGCTCCTACAGATTCTTGATCTGTCTTTCAATCCTCTAATGCTCAATAAATTTCCCGATTGGCTTAAAAGTCTAAGCCTTTATGAACTGCGGCTCGCGAGCACAGGACTCGAGGGAGAACTGCCCAACAGCTTGTCTTTATTTTCTTCCCTATATGTTCTTGATTTATCGAGTAATTCCCTAAAAGGGAAACTACCTTCATGGATTGGAAAAATGACAAACCTTTCCTATCTAAATTTGTCCAACAATCATTTCGACTCCTCTGTTCCAGTCGAGTTCAAGAACCTCCTCTTCTTAACCGACCTCGATCTCCACTCGAACAGCCTCTCGGGAAATTTAAACGCGCTTTTCAAAAAATCATCCCAATATACGCTTGGGATGTACTCCTCGATCGACCTTTCTAACAACATGTTCAGTCTGCCCATCGACGAGGACATCGGGAACAAGCCAGTCATGAAATACGTCAAGACTTTGATTTTGTCCGGCAACCCTTTGGGCGGTAAAATACCGACATCGCTCGGGAAGTTGAGGTATTTGAGGAAGCTCGAGATGGAGAGAAACAGGCTCGTCGGCGGAATACCCATGGAGGTTTTGAATCTCATGTATCTCAAGAGTTTTAATGTCTCGTACAATCGTTTGAGTGGGAAAATACCGGCTCATAAGGTGTATATTCCGGCCTCGGCTTTCGAGGGGAATGTCGGTTTGTGTGGGGTACCGCTTCCTCCGTGTAAGAAGTAGAGAGAATGGGGATTATGTAGGTTAATAATAATGTAGTTTGATGAGAAGAATGAAAGGATCTTATTAATAAATTTGTCTTTGTCATGATTTTAGTTAGTTCTTACAAATTTCAAGGCTTCCTTTATCATGAAAATGTTACGTTGCATAAGCGATTATAGTAACTAAAAATTACTCAACTACCGAGCAATATGCAGATAACAAATTGTTAAATGTTAAATAATTTATAAGTTTAAAATAATAGTTTTATAAGTACATGTAATTAATTTGTATACAAACATTGTTTTTCACAAAATCGTCCGATTTCCCGCTCGGGCAATACTCCTCGATCGACCTTTCTAAAAACATTTGTGGGTCCATCGACGAAGACATCGGGGAAAAGCCCGTCATGGAAGAAATTGAGACTTTGATTTTGTCCCACAACCCTTTAGGCGGGAAAATACCGAAATCACTTGGGCAGTTGAGCTATTTGACGAGGCTCGAGATGGAGAAAAATGGGCTCGTCGATGGAATACCGAAATCGCTCGGTAACACAAGCGCGCTCGAGGCTATTCTTTTGTCGGGGAACGGATTGAGTGGCGGGATTCCTAAGGAGGTTTTGAATCCCGAATATCTCGAGAGTTTAAAAGTATCGTACAATCGTCTCATGAGCGGGAAAATACCGGCTCATAAGGTGGTTATTCCGGCCTCGGCTTTCAAGGGGAATGCCGGTTTGTGTGGGAAACCGCTTCCTCCGTGTAAGTAATGAAAAATTTATACGTGACAAGATTACGTAGCTTAATGTTGTTTTCAGATATATGCGTATTTATTTTTCTACTCAATTTCAGAAGAGATTGAATGATGTGAATTTGGGTGAAAATGTTTCTGCATAGTAATTGGTTTTGATGTTGATAGTTGATACTGTAAATTTAAGGGGTTTCTAAACTTTTTGTCTGTATTTAGTCTGTGTATCAAAACTGATTTTGACAGATTTCAAGAGAACACTTTATTGATTAGAAGAATGAAAGGATCTTAATAACGTTGATTTTGTCATGATCTTAATAAACTTTTTTGTCATGGTTGAAGCAAATAATAATAATAAAAATACTATACTTTTATAGAGACGCAGAATATTGTGTTCAAAATAATTTTAATCTATTAATATATAATAAGAATTAAAATAGTTCACTTTTAGAAATATTTTCTCGCTAATTTCATTAATTATTGCTTAAAAATAGTAAATTACCAAAATCTCTATTTATTAGCATATCTGTTTTATCTGTTTTTTTTTAGGAATACAATAAAAAACATGGAAAATAATTGTCCTTTTTTTGCCGCACACAAATATTTATGGTTATTACCTTTATTAGTTGAATTTAAATTTAGGATGATTAGGGTATTATAGAAACTTTCGAAACCCTTAGTTTAAATATATAGACTTGATTGTGCAAGTCCTTAATCTTTATATCTATATTATATTTCCTGTATTGAGTAAAACATAATAAATTAATACTTATGTTATTTTGAAATGAATATAATATAAATTATTATTAGTTGCGTGTATTGTACAGGTTGTGTACGAATTTTAAATATACATATTTTATGTAATTTTGTACAATTCAAATTTCGTATAACATTTTTAAAAATTAATATAAGTAAATTGTATCACATATTGATTCAATATTCTTAACTTATAATATATTATTTAATGCATGTTTTTAATTTATAAGTACTAATAAATATTCCTTACCGCACAAAATTCGTATTAGTAAAAAAAAAAAAAAAA